GTCTGGCTACTGTGGGCCAGGCATCGTGGTTATATACACTCTGGTGGGTTGTAAACGGTGGGTCGTGATTGGTTGTTAATCGTGGGTTATGATTGGTTGCTTTTGGACCAATCATGAGGTGCCGGATATGCAAATTTGAGGGATTCTAGTGGCCAATCAGAGCAAGGTTTCGAAGGTCAGGTTTTTGGAAGGGAACCAATCATGGTAATTGTTTGCTCTCTGAGAAACCTCAGCAGACTCGCTGGTGCGCAGCTTCCCACACACCTCCAAAAAATTGTTTCAGTAGTTCTGGGGTAGCTCCTCCTCTTGTTCAATTATCATTTCATTGGATTAAACTCTTCTTGAATGTCTTATTTAAATGGAAACTGTAATCTATGTTCACTTGGGCTGCTGTCCACAGAGTTGGTACTGGTTGGGGGCAGATTCCTTCTTTACTTACATATTTATTTATTTTTAATTTGCTATATGGTTGTGTGTGTGTGTGTGTGTGTGTGTGTGTGTGCGCGCGTGTGTGGGCTCCTTGAAGGAAAACGGAGAGAAAAAGGGAAAATGAGAAAGCACCTCCCCAGGGGGCATAGCCATGTCGCAGTCCTCTCTCCTCCATTCTCTTCTCAGGATTCTGGATTGCTTGCACACACACTCAGCGTGTTTTTCAAGCCATCAGGGTTGGGACTTGAACCACATAGTCAGCTATGTGGGAACCAGCTACCTTAACCACCATGCCAGTAGCTGGCCCTATTTTGCTTTTGTATCAAATCCATGTCATGAGATTTCCTCTGGAACATTTTCTGTTGGTACTACTTTGTATTCCTTTTGTCTAACCCATTTTTCTTTTTCCACAGAGATTTTTGCTATAGGGCACATGGTGCTCATCAGAGAGACAGAAAGTGAGAAATCACCTCCCAGGGGGATAGCCATGCCACGGTCCCTTCTCCTCTTGAGATCTTAGGCATGTACACACACGCTGTGCCTGGCATGAGTTTTAAGTTGCTGGGTGCAGGACTCGAACCACAGTTGACCATGTGGGAGTCCAACGACGTAACCATTACACATCTGTTGGTCCCTGTCTAACTCATTTGTAAAATCAGTTTAAAAAGTTAAAAATGCAAAAACAGATGAAGGCAAGAGAGGGGGGAAAGATTAGAAAGTCTTTTTTTTTTTTGGATACGATACTAAATACTCCTACACACACATCTCATACAGTTTGGGAAATGTGTATGGCAAACGTGGCATGACAGTTTGATGGGCAGTGACATGCTGTGTATTCACAGTGGTCATCGATGTGGCAGCATGTTCTTAACCTGGTACTAAATCTTCCTGTACTGAATCCCGCTAGCTTCCTCTGCAGATGTTTCTATTGTGTCTACATCATCTGGAGAACATGCAGGGCTTTACCTTGAGGGTTACTGTGTAGAGACACTGTGACAGGGCCAACCCGCTGGGACACAGAATGCTTCCATTACCACTGAGGGAGAAAACAACTTAAACTAGGTGAAGGAATGGGGACGTCTGTTAAAACGTATGTGGCGCAGAGAGATAAGGGCATGGACTCTCAGTCACGTCCCAGACACACTGTCTAAAGTAATTACTCAAAGATACATTTTCATAGAAAGCTCCCTGACTATCTTATGCTATGAACAAATGACCCCGGTTACCATGAGCTGCATTTTTGCACATTGAGACCCCCACCTTCAGCTGTCACAATGTCCTGGGATGTATGATCCATGAAACCCCAAAAGAAGCTTGTACTATTCTTACGAATGAATGTAAATTTTTTGTTTGTTTTGTTTTGATTGGATTTACCATCAGATGCATGCGCTTGCGGGAGAGAAAGATAGCATCTTCCAATAGGTTGGGGTCGCCCTGCAATCCCTTCTTCATTTCTCCTTGCTGTTAAGATTTTGCACATGTGCTGTGTGTTTTTCAGGC